TCCCATCAACCTCTCCTCTCTTTTGTGACCAAATTTTAAAAAAAAGACTGTAAACAGTTTTCATTCCCTTCTTCTTAGTCACTCCTCAAGCCCCCACTATTTGGATTCTCCCCAAAGCACCTCTGAAACTGTTGCCACCAAAAACTTTTCAACCAACATACCCAATAATCTCTTTCAGGCCTCATAACACTCGACCTCTCAGGAGAAACTGCTTAGCATAATCCTCTTGCAATGTACCCCTCCCTAAGCTACTTCTTCTTTTCTTTAAATCTTTTTTCAGTTTCTCCCTGGGCTTCTCTCTCCCTCCCCCATCCCGGGTTTCTTGATACCAGTCTTCTGATTCTCCTCTTACCTCTCAAACTATACCTTCTCAATATCCTTTATTAGCTCTTCTTCTACCTGTTTCCCAAAAGGCTGATAGTTCCCCCAGGATTTCATTCCAGACCGCCTCCCAGGCACAAATCCTTATTCACAGCCACCTATTGGAGACTTATACCCAGCTATCTCACACTTCAAAATAAAATTCATTACTTTCCTCCCCAAACCTGCTTGCCCTGCTATATTCCATCTCAATTAGTAAACTCAAACCTAATCAGACAGACCTCAGTCATCCATTTCCTCCTCTTCCTGTCACACAGCCTTTTAATACAATCTTCAGTGTCCCTCAGGTCAATCCTCAACACACACACACCTGGCCTCCTGATTGTTATCTCAGCTGCTAGTCTCTCCTACTCCAATCAACTCTCCTTGTTGCTACCAAGTAACTTCTGGTCATGTTGCTTCTCTGCCTAAAAGCTTTCAGGTGGCTCCCCCTGCCTGTGAAAACAATATAAAACTCCTAGCCAGTGATGGCGAACTCATTTTTTTGGTTGATTTTTCTTTGTTAAATGGCATTTAAATATATAAAATAAATATCAAAAATATACATCTTTTACTATGGTTGCAAATATCAAAAAATTTCTATATGTGACATGGCACCAGAGTTAAGTTAGGGTTTTTCAAAATGCTGACACGCCAAGCTCAAAAGGTTCACCATCACTGTAGACACTCAAGACCTACCACAATTAGATGTCAAAATCTGTATTTTTCTTGATCACTCCTTTTCAGCAACTCTACCCCCCAACTGCACTTGGACTTCTTGCCATCCAAAAACATGCTTTTGTCACTAACATGTCGCTTCCTGTCTGGAATGCTCCTCTCCTTGTCTGCCTGGTAAACACTTCGTTGACCTTCCCAAAGCCAAGTTAAGTCATGGTCTTCCTTCTTGACTCTCATAGCATATGGCCCAGTCTTTTTCATAGCAGCCTTCATTCACTTTCCCCCATCAGTCCCTCCATCTTTGCACAGTGCCTGGGGAACAGTGCATGCTCAATCAATGTTTAATCTATTGAACTGAAGAAGTAAGGATGACCAATCAAATGTTAAGAACCCATAACAGGATACAGGAGCACTGTGGAAGCTCACTAGGAGAAATCCCATCCAGTTAGGAGATTTACTCATTCAACAAATGTTCACTAGATGAACATTTGAGGTAAATAAAACAAAACAAAACAAAAGACCCAAGAGTCAGTCCTGGCCCTTTGTTTTCAAGCTAGATACCGTCACATTGTCTGCTGGTGAAATAGAAGTCTTACGTTTTATGATCCAGTAATACTGGACTGAATGCTTTCCTACCTGGTTATCTCTGCTGAAATGACCTCATGTGCTGCCTCAAGTGGTCCCATCTCATGCATATTTTTATTTTTACTGATTTTAAAGGGAGAGATAGAAGCATCAATGATGAGAGAATCATTGATCAGCTGCATTCTGCATGCCCCCTACTGGGGATTGAGCCCACAACCTGGACACGTGCCCTGTGAGCTCATTATTGTGAGTTCATTATGAAATGACTCCATTAGGGGGCATGCAAGAGGCAGCCGATCAATGATTCTCTCTCATCACTGATGTTTCCATCTCTCTCCTCCCTTCCTCTCTGAAATCAATAAAGATACATGCATTAAAAAAAGAAATCTAACCACTGCTGTTACCATTCCCCTAAACTACTACTGTTGCTATTCTTGGTGTCTTATAGTCTATTATCCATACAGCAGCCTCAGTAGGCGTTTAAAAAGGTCAATTAGGCCTGGCCAGTGTGGTTCAGTGGTTGAGCATCAACCTATGAACCAGGAGGTCACAGCTGGATTCCTGGTTAGGGCACACGCCGGGTTGCAGCTCAATCCCCAGTCGGGGGCATGCAGGGTGCAGCTGATCAATGATTCTCTCTCATCATTGATGTTATTTCTATCTCTCTCACCCTCTCTCTTCCTCTCTGAAATCAGTACAGATATATTAATAATGAAGAAAAAAAAGAAACTATGAGTGAAGCTGCTCACCTGGCTGTTAGCTTTGGTCAGCATCATGTGTGCATTCACTACTTCCAGAATATGTGCGGTGAACTCATTCATATCCTCCAGGGGCATGATCTTAAAGGCCACCAGGCTTTTTTTGTTCTATTAAAGTAAGAGAATAAAGAATAAGCACATTCAAGTCAATTTAAGGTCAAGACATTATGGCTCTTTTCTTGGTTATATTTTGCTAATATGGGAAAAATGTGTTATATATTTAAAAATTTTTACTCAAGGTTGATCTAAACATAGTTAATAAAACATATTAAAAAAACTAAACTAGCTCAGAGATGTTCAATGACTTCCCAAGGATACATAGCAAGCCGAGCCTAGCATCCTGACTCTATATCCAGTGCCCACCCATCTACGCCTAATGGATGCCATTGATGTCAACTGCAGGCGGAGTTCCTGTTCTTTCTCTACCATTCTGTTAGTTTATATTAAGGTAAAAACCCATTATTTCCTTTTGAAGAAGAGACTAATAAAATAACTTCAATATAACTCCCATTAAACATGAAGACTTAGTTAAGTTTTAAGTATCCTAAATGCAGGCATGAATCTAGAAATTGTTAGCATGCAAATACATTTAAAAAATTTTTTTATTTTTATTTTGAAGGGGGATCAAACCTGCAACCTTGGCATATCCGGACAACACTCTAACCAACTAATCTACCCAGCCAGGGCCCATGGAAACACATTTTAACAGTCTTTTTTTCTTTCTGACTTTACCTGAAAAGATCTCAGATGGCCAGCCACTTTCACATACGTTTCTGGAGGAACCACAGTGTTTTCACCACTGGCATCCTAACAGGTAAAATACAAACACATTACTAAGGTTTTAGTGATATTGGTAAAAGCTTCTTTAAAATCTCTAAATTATGTACAGAAACAAAAAGTTAAAGCTACAGGATCCTAATATGTCCCTAACTAGTTTAACTTATCTATTGGAATTAACTTTTGTAAAAACAGGAATTAGAATAAACATCTCTAAAGGTAATTTCCAGCCGAAACCGGTTTGGCTCAGCGGATAGAGCGTCGGCTTGCGGACTGAGGGGTCCCGGTTCGATTCCAATTCCAAAGTTCTGTTATGTACATCATAAAAAAAGCAAACAATGATGGTACTTTCATTCAATGCTCTTAGGCACACAACTTTCTGGTGGATAGTGGACATACATATCGGCATAGTGTTTCTACTTTTAGGAATTAAATGAAATTAAGAACATGCATTAGATTTAGCTTTAGGAATATTCATTATAGCACAGATTACAATATTGAAAAATTTAAAACAGCCTAAATAGGCAACAATAGGCACACATTCAAATATAGAATTCTATTAATTGGGAGGACCAGTTGTGGCATGCAGTAACAATGGTTAACTGGGATAATTGGGGTTTTACAGAATATGTACACATTATTTATTTATAAGAAAAAAATATAAGCTGTTTCATAAAGATTTTCCTGATTATAAAATACCTGACTATAAAAAACTAAAAAGCTGCCCAGGCCATGTAGCTTGGTGGTTGAACATCAACCACCAGGAAGTCATAGTTCGATTCCAGTCAGGGCACAAGTCCAGGTTGCAGGCTCCATCCCGTGTGGGGCATGCAGAAGGCAGCCTATCGATGATTCTCTCTCATCATTGATGTTTCTCTCTCTCACTCTCCCTTCCTCTCTGAAATTGATTAAAAAAAAATTATAAAAGACCTCTGCCCAATTAAAAAATAAAAAAACATGTATTTTATTTCAGTCTATTTCCTCCATACACAT